CGCTGGAGAGCAAGTTTCAGTGTCTCTTCTAACATCCATTTTGACCTTTTCCTTCTTTCTTGTTTTCTTAATGACTTTTTGCTTTCTTCACATGTGATGTTCTTGACGTCATCCCACAACTCTTCTGGTCTTCGGTCTTTAGTGTTTAATGTATCAAATCTGTCCTTCAGATGATCTCTAAATTCAGGTGGGATCTATTCAAGGTCATATTTTGGTTCTTGTGGACTTGTTTTCATTTTGTAGGACAGAGTATTAATACACTTGGCCGTTAAATCAAAGCATTGACGGTTTGACTCTACTGAGAGGTGCCTTAAAAGGAAGGTCTGGCAGTCTACTTTTGACAAAACAGCCATTGAGAACTCTGTGGAGCACAGTTGTCCTCCAACACACATGGGGTTGCCATGAGTGGGAATTGACTTGACGACAGTTGGTGATTACGTTAGATTGCATTGTGGAAGGTGAAATGCTCTACCCACTGCCAGCTGATTTAATCTCATGTAACTTACTCCTCCAGGAGGCCCTTGGTGGCACAGACAGTTAAGCACTTGGCTATGAACCGAAAGGCTAGGGGTTTGAATCCACCCAGGAGCCTCAGAAGAAAAGGCACATGATATCCTTCTGGAAACACAGCCATTGGAGCACAGCTCTACTCTGACCTACATGGGGTGCCAGGAGTCCCAGTCGGCATGATGGCAGCTGGTCTTGTTTGCTTGGTTTGTTGAGTTTCTCCACAAGCCTGACTAAAGCAGTGTGGCCAAACCCTTGGGAATCGTTGCCTAGCCCAGTTGACCCATAGTGTTACTGTTAACTGTCACATGAGAATCAGCAGTTTTCTTCCTAGCCCACTGTGGGAATATGCCAAGAACGTGTCAAATGACCTATTACACTGGGCAAATCAAAGTGTTGCCTTGAGGACTGAGGTGGTCCTAACGCAAGCCATTCCCTTCAGTCCCTTCATATGCATGTGAAAACAGGACAGTGAATAAGGAAGACTGGAGAAGAAATGGTGCTGGTAAAGTGGAGGATCAGTGACAAAGAGATGGCTTAGTACAGTGGCTGCCACCGTGGGCTCCAGCATAACGTCAGTTGTGAGGAGGGCTCAGGTGCAGGCGCGTCTCTGTGGTACGGAGGAGTCCTGCAGTACCACGCATCACTTTTGCATGGCCTTTCTCGCCGTGGTCTTGTGAGATACCCTCAGATGATTGGTTGGGACTGCAGATGGGGTGCTGTAGCCCACTAAGGCAGTTGGACCATTGCTTGCCACATGAGTGAAAGAGCCTCACAAGATTTACCCGAGCCAGAGGCCCAAGGGGCTGAGGACCCAAGGGAGGTCTGTCTGGTTGGCACAGCTGAGAAGCGGCTGTGTCCTAAGATGTGTTTGTGTTGTTGTTGTTGTTAACTATGATTGTGATCTGAGTGAAGGCTTGTAGAGCAGGTTAGTTGTCCCTGACACGGTGCAGACACATTGGGTCTCCTGACAGTGCTTGCGGTCTCCGTAATGGAGAGCATTCTTCCTACTTCTTCCTTGAGTTTGCCGCCTCCGTTCTGGCTTTTCTCTGTATTCCAGCTTCTGAGCTTTACCCCTGGCCAATTGCTGCCCTTTTGATTTCATATGGTTAATGGAAATCATATGGTACACGCTAATGAGCATGCTGACCACCCTCTTACTGTGTGTGACCTTACCCTTCAGCCATGTTAACACCTGTGTACTCTCTAGTTGACGTCCTGGTATAGTGCTGAAGGATAAGCACTGGACCGCAGGGTGTTTGCACTGCAAGGTTGGTGGTTGGAACTTACCAGTTACTCTTCAGAAACCCTATACAGGGTCGCTATGGGCCGGAACTGACTCGGCAGCACTTCGTAACAACAGTGGCTAGTAAAAGGAGCTCTGGTAGCGTAGTGGTTATGAATCGAGCTGTGAACCTCAGGGTCAGCAGTTCGAAACTACCAGCTGTTCCGTGGGAGAAAGATGAGGCTTTCTGTTCCCATGAAGATTTACAGCCTCGAAAACCCTGTACAGGGTTGCTATGAGTCGGAACCGACTCCACGGCACTTAGCAACGACAACAACAGTGGCTAGTAAACCACCAGGTTTTTGTTGGCTGCCTAAACATCTTCGTTGGAGATGTCTAGGTCCTTTACCCATTGTTTGTCATTTTGTTGTTGAGGTATTGAAGTTTTCTATAAATTTCAGAGTTTAGTCTCTTTTCAGATACGGTGTTGCCATTAAGTTTTTCCCAGTTTGTAGGTTCTCTTTTTGCTCTTCTGGAGAAGTCTTGTTGATATTCATAATTGTTTCATTTTTAGGAACTCTGGTAGCCTAGTGGGTTATCAGTTGGGCTGCTAACCCCAAGGTCAGTATTTCGAATCCACCAGCCACTCCTCAGGAGAAAGATGAGGCTTTCTGCTCTCATAAAGATTTATAGCCACAGAAACCCTATAAAGAGTCACTGTGAGTCGAAACTGACTCCACGACACAGAACCATCATCAGTCACCCAGTTTTGTCTTCTGTGGTTTGGAACTTTTAATTATGTTTGGTAGACTATTTACGACATGAATTACAGCCCCTAAATTTGCCCTGAAGCCCTGTTGTGGTTGCTGTAGGATAAGAACCACAAGGTTGGTAGTTCAGACCCACCAGTTGCTCCTTGGAAACCATATACAGGCTTGCTATGAGTTGGAACCATGGCAGTTAACAACAACAGAGGTTTACTCCTACTTTGTCTTCCAAAATCAGTACAGTTGTAGATTGAAGTTTTACGTCTCTGATCCATCTCGAGTTAATTTTTGTATATGGTGGTGTGAGGTATGGATCAGGTTTCATTTTTAGGGTTGTTGGAACTTTGGTGGAGATTGTGTTGAATTTATTGATTGCTTTGGGTAATGTTGACACCGTAAGTCTGTTAAGCCTTCCAATCCATGAACATAGAATGTCTTCATCTCCATGTAGAGTATCTTTCCTTTCTCTTAGTGATAATCGTCTGTACACAAGGCTCTTGCCTTTTGGGTTAAGTGTCTTCTTGGTACTTTATTCTTATAGGTGCTGTTATACATGATGATGATGTTTCCTTGGTCTCCTTTCTCTGCTTGCTCATTGCTGATGGAGAGGCATCGATCTGATTTCTGTGTATTGACCTTGCACCTTGCCGTTATACTGAGTTCATTTATTCTTGTAGCATCCTTGTGAATGTGAAATCATTCACATCACTCTATGTGAAATCATACCATCTGTGAGATTGGGTGTTTTTACTTCCTTTTCATACTTCTTCTGGTGTAAAACTATCTTAAAAAATGATGAAGTCTTTTTGGTATCCTCTTCACTGGATGAAGCAGAAAGCTGATGCCCCTTCATTGGTTCCCAACATTGAGTGTGAAACGTCACCCAGCATCTGCTAAGCACTGCCCTCAGCGAGTGTGTTTACAGAATCGCATTCTGCAGGAGTGTTCTGCCCAGGGGACTTCTGGGTAGTGAAATCTGTCAGCCTGTTCTGGCCAGAGGCGAGCTGAGGTCATGTGATATGCACAGCCGCCCGCATGGATGTCTCCTTGCAGATGGGACTTGTCAGGGGTTGGATTGAATGGGCTGGACACTGCCGATGCCACCCGGAATGTGACCGGGCTGGACAGCTTGTTCACAGCACTCTGCGGACACCTGACCCACATCAGTACTGAGCTGTTATCTGCATGTGTGCGGGGTAGGCAGGGTTTAATTGTATGACTTCGTTGCTATGACATATCTAAAACAGACAAATTCGGCAGTAGTTGTTGTTAGCTTCTGGCATGTCGTCTTCAACTCATAGCGACACGGTGACGGAGTAGACCCAGCTCCACGGTGTTTTCTAGGCTGTCATCTTTATAGGAGCAGATAAATTGCTAGGTTTTTGCTTTCCCATGGAACCACTGGGTGACTTAGAACCACCAGCCTTTTGGCTCCGTAGACAAGCGCTTAAGACTCTTTAGGCAAATTCATGAAGACACATAATAGACTAGTGGTTGCCTAGGGCTTGAGAATTGTGGGCCATGACCACTGTCTGGTTTTCTGGAGCGTGAGTGTGAGAGACTGTGTTCTCGGTAGATGTCCTGGATGTCGGTGTGGTTGGCACGAGTGCAGTTGGCACCAGTGTTATCTGACCCTCCCTCCCTAGTCACAGAGCTGGGACTGCTAAGCTGGGAAACCCGAAGGGCTCTGGACCACCTTCCATCACCAGGACAAAGGTTGAGCATGTAGCGTCAGAAGGCCCCCTCCCTCCCCAGCGCTGCCTGTGGAGCTACAATGCCAGCCACTGAAGAAATCTGAAGCTCTAGGACTTTCTCTGAGAAGGGGGGCTGCTTCCTCCCCAGAGAAGCCGACTCCTCCTAGGCTACTCCTGCCTGGATGCCTCCACACTGCAGAAGCCTCTCAGCCTGAGCCCAAGCCTGCCTCTCCACCCCTCTTCCCTGAGTGGCATGGCCTCTAGGGATCTGCGAGGCCAGCTGCCTTGGGCTAGACAACCCACAGCAGGTCCCCTGATGATCCTCTCCAAAGTGACCACCCCTGTTTGGGTGCTTCTTGCACCCCATGGACACAGGGCCACTCACTGAGTTTAGAATATCAGGAATGGTGGGGTGATGATGTTAGTGCCCACAGGAGAGCAGTAGGCCTGGGCTAACACCTGCCTTTTAAAGCCCCAGGAGTGGTGTTAACAGTGCGCTTGTCCGCAGAACACTGAGCTCTGTCCCTGAGTGGTGGGGTTTCAGCCCTGGGACCTGCGTGTAACACTGACAGACTGGACACCCCACCTGACCAGCTTCTGTATGAAGAGCTGCTACTGAGGAACGGTGGGGACTTTTGTCCTCAGAGGAGGGATAGATCTTACCCAGCCTCCCTCAGCACCTGGCCAGCTCCATGCCCAGTTCACCACCTCTCCCTGGCCCTCTGAGGCAGGAAGAAGTCACAGAGGCAGACTGTGTCTTGTTCTAGCCTAAGGAAGCGCTGGAGTCCCTGAGTGTCACAGAGAGTCAAGCACTTCCTTGACTACTAACAGAGAGATTGGTGGTTTGAACCTTCCCAGGGGCACCTCAGTAGACACACCAGGCAGTCTGCAACCCCGTGGAGCGGTTCTGCTCTGCACACACGGGGTCGTGGTGAGAAACAGTACACTGGACGGCAGCCCACAACAGCCAGAAAAAGGAAGCTGTAAGCTGTGTAGGGCACGCAGGGTCAGTGAACTGTGTGAGCAGGCGCAGCCCTTTCCTCAACGGCTTGGGCTTGGGGTGGGGAGCCTGCACCAGCCCGGCCGAGGGGCTGACCCAGGCCTGGCCTTTACAAGAGGAAGTGTGGCCAACTCTTGGCTGGGAATTCACAGCCCTGGAGTTCTCACACCGGTAACTCCAAATCTTCCCCAGCCAACCACTGTTTAGGCTCACTCACTCACTGAGCCCCGCTGGGGACCCTGCTGCTGGCCCAGCAACCCCCTCACGGGCCTCTGCTGTGAGTGAGGGCAGACAACAAACAAACCAACCGTCTGTTTGGTGAATGTTGGATGTTGAGGAGCATGGTGGTCGGCAAGCCCCGTGAAGGAAGGGGCATCCAACCAGGGACTTGAAGGATGAGGAGGGGGCAGCCATGAAGATAACGGGGTGGAGGGGGCCAGCATCTCTACAGGGCCCTCCTCAAACAATATCCACTGCCATGGAGTTTGCTCCAACTCAGCAATCTTAAGTAGGGTTTCTGAAATTGTCAGGCCTCGTCTTCCTCCCTCTGCAGACCCCGGGTTGGCCGACTTGAAGAGTGAGGATGAGTTGGATCAGGGTGGGAGATGATGAGGGCGTCTGGAGTTCTAGAACATCGGGATGACCTAGTGAGTTCCATAGACTGCAGGGGCATACAGCCAGTGAAGCAGCAGGTGTCCAGCAGGTGGCGCTGTGGCTGGCACGGTGCACCTGGAAGCTGGAAGTGGAGGAGTGGTTGGGTTAGGGAAGGTCCACAGGCGGATAGAGGGGGCACAGCAGATTCTGATCTGGTGAAACCCCACTGCCATGGGGTCCATTTCGACTCACAACAACCCTGTGTAGGGTTTCTGAGGTGCTAAGTCTTTCCAGGAGCAGGCAGCCTCCTCTCTCCTGTGGAGCGGCTGGTGGCTAGCAGCTCAGTACTTACCCTGCAGGGATACCAGGGTCCCGTGTTTGTTAAGTGCCGTCGAGTCAGCTCCGATTCATAGCGCACCTTTATAGGGTTCTCATGGAGACCCACGTACACACAGAACAGAATGCTGTCTTGTCTTGCCCCACCCGTGATCTATTGTGGATTGGACTGTTGGGATGCATGAGGTTTTCGTTGGGTGGTTTTCAGAAGTAAGTTGCCAGGACTTTCTTCCTAATCTGCCTGTGTCAGAGTCATCCACAAGTCTCCTCTGACAGATGGGGTGGTACACTGGCTGGGTGATTGGTCCACCGCTGAGCCCCTGTCATCATGAGAGAAGGCTCATTGGGGAAGGGGAGTCAGACCTTATAGTATATGTCCTCATCACTGGGTTGTGGAGGAGGCGTGGACACCCGGAGACCCGTGAGCAGCTGTTGGTGGGAAGATGGTGCTTGGTCAGAGAAGGAGCTGCCAACAAGCCCCCCCATCCACCCTGTTTCCCACCCTCCCTGACAGTGATCAACAAGTACAAGCGCAGGCGGTTCCAGAAAACAAAGAACCTGTTGACTGGAGAGACAGAAGCTGACCCGGAAATGATCAAGGTAAGTGCTGGCAGGGTCGTGGGAGCCTCTGTTCTGCCCTCTGGGACGCAGTTAGGAATCCACACCAGGTGAAATCACAGGAATGAGCACCAGCCCTACCAGGTGCGTCCCATCTCCATTCCCCTTCCCAATGAGGAATCTGAGGTGCTGGCAGAGGTAGGGCAGGGACCCCCCCGCAGGCAGACAGCCTCACAGAGTGAGTGCTCAGTGAAGCTGGTTCTAGAGGGCATAGGCTGAGGAGCCTGCTTCTCAGAGGGTGCTGCCCCCTGTGTGAGGAGACTGTGGGGTGGAACCTGAGGTGTCATGAGGCACCCACACACTGTCAGGCCCTGTGTTTCCTTCCCTAAGGCAGGGAGGGTCCAGGTAGGTGGTGTCTGGAGAGGACTTGCTCGGGGTAGCAGGCGGTCTCTTGGCTGTTACGATGGTTTGGGGACCCTCCTGGCGCCTGGCCTGCTCTGAAACTCTGCTCCGTCTACCCGCAGAGGGCCGAGGACTATGGGCCTGTGGAGGTCATCTCCCACTGGCACCCCAACATCACCATCAACATTGTGGACGACCACACACCGTGGGTGAAGGGCAGCGTGCCCCCACCCCTGGACCAGTGTAAGTCCTGCAGCCCCCCCAACAGTGTGAGCAAGGTGCTCCAGGACCCACCCGCCCCTGCCCTCCCCCCTGACCCCTGACAGGGCTGTGTGCTTGTCTCCTCTCACCCTGAGCCCCGGTGAGGCCTCCTGGGACCCGGGGCAGACCACCCAGCCCATGTCTCATGCAGCTTACAAGCCATTTTCCAAAAAGCTGTACCAGACGCCAACTTAAAAACTGGGGCCACATCTTGTACACATCCAGGTTTCTGGCTGCTGCTGTGACAACGTGGACGTGTGGGTACCCCGCACCCCTTCCCTTGCGCTGCCACGGGCTGGAGCTGAGCATCAGCTGCCCATGTGGTTGGCCCTTTCCTTCCCAGGTCCCTCCGCTGAGGGCAGGAGCCCTTCAGCTCCTCACAGGCGTCTCTGTCAGAAGTGCCAGTCAGGGTTCTAGATGTCTGGATTTGCCACTTGGGTCCTCAGAGGCCTTGGGAGTATCCCCTCCATCCTTCCTGGACACTGTGGCCTCCGGCCCACAGGCTGAGAGCAGGCCTTGTCCTTCCGCTCACAGATGTGAAGTTCGATGCGGTGAGCGGAGACTATTACCCCATCATCTACTTTAACGATTACTGGAACCTGCAGAAGGACTACTACCCCATCAACGAGAGCCTGGCCAGCCTGCCGCTCCGTGTCTCCTTCTGCCCACTCTCGCTGTGGCGCTGGCAGCTCTACGCTGCCCAGAGCACCAAGTCCCCCTGGAACTTCCTGGGCGATGAGCTCTACGAGCAGTCAGATGAGGAGCAGGACTCAGTGAAGGTGCGTCGGTTCTGTGTGGAGCCGGGCCTTCCCCACACCTTGCTGGGCCCAAGGGGGAAGGGGAAGTAGGGCTCCCAGCCCACAGTTTCACAACCCCCTGGGGCCCCTGAGCGGACAGGAAGTGTGTGCTGGGCCCTCCATCCCAGGGTCCCTGCCGTTGCTGGACCAGGCCCATGTCCGGGAGCGTGGGCTTGGACGTGGTGTCTGGTGTCGAGATGTGGCCTGGTCTTACTGGGTCTCTCTTTCTGACTGTCCCTTCATCTCCCTGCCCATCTCTTGCCTTTGGGGTCCTCATGTCTCTGGGCAGCTCTGAGGTTCAGTCCAGTCTGGGGGAGAGGCCCAGGAGCCCAGGGTAAGGGAGGTGGTGCTCACAGGGTGCTCACCCTCCCAGGTGGCCCTCCTGGAGACCAACCCCTACCTGCTGGCTCTCACCATTGTCGTGTCCATCGTCCACAGCGTCTTCGAGTTCCTGGCCTTCAAGAACGGTAGGGGTGGGGCCCTGGGCCTAGGCTTTCTGCCCACCATTCTCTCAGTCTGGGGTCTCCAAGCTCTCCCCTCTGGAGCTTGGGGAGGGGCAGTGGCCCCAAAACTCCCAACCCAGAAACTCCCTCCCACAGGGCGAGGCACCAAGGGAGGGGTAGGTGGCACCTCCAGGAAGCAGGCGGGGAACTCCAGGCTGGAGCAGGGAAGCCCCGAGCTGCGCCTCCTGTCCTTCCCAGCAGCCCGCCTCTGGGGTGACCCTCAGGACAGGTGGCCTTTGGTGGTGGCAGCCTTGTCACAGGCTTGGCCTGGGAGCCAGTGGTCTTGCCCACAGTCCCACTGGACCCAGGCAGCTGGCTCCAGAGCCCCCACTTGGTTTCCGGCCACGCAGGTCCCTCCTACCTTCCCCAGTCACTCCTGGTCTGAGCCGCAGTCTTCTGCTTGGATTCTTGTTATTGTTTCGGCGTCACCACTGTGATGAGTGACCCGGTCACTGTCGGAAGGCCCAGACCAGCCGCCATGTGCCCCGTGTCTTAGAGGCTAGCTGTGAGCTCTTAAAAGTAGACTGGCAGCCTTGACTTCTGAGTGACTCTGGGTGGACTCGAACCCTCGTCCCTTTGATATGCCACTAGGGACTCCTGCATATGAAGGGCTTTCAGAAAGTTCATAGAAAATTTCCATTGTCTTTTAATTCCATTATTCCACAAACTTTTTGAAGTCCCCTTATGTACCTAGAAGGAGAGCTATTGGCTCACATGGTAATTCCTCATTTTACTTTTATTGAGGAAATACCCAACTCTTTTTTTCAATACAATTCTTTTCAGTAATATCTTTTATTTATATATGAAGGGGGCTTCAAAAAGTTCCTGGGGAAATTCCATTGTCTTTCCATTCCATTTGTCCGAAATGAACTTTTTGAAGCCCCCTCATATTGAATGCTGTTCGGATTAAACCCTCCACCGACACTGTGCCAGCCGTGACTGGGCCTCTTACTCCAGATGAGCCGTGAAGACACAGGGAGGTGTGGCGCACGCACACACACACCGGCACTAGGCCAGCTTTAACACACAGATCCCTTCTCCCCCTCTGGGACTGACCGGGGGTCTGTAAGTGACCCCCTGAAAGCACCCTAAGGAGGCAGTGGCCTGGTGAGGCAGACATTTGTAGGGAGCCTGCCCAGCTTGCTGGCACTGCCCTGTGCGGCCCGGTCTTCTCACACAACACGGGCCTCAGGGCCGTCAGCCCCACTGGACACAGGGGAGCCAGGGAGTACCAGAGGTGCTGCCTAGGGTCCTGCAGGAGCTTGGGGTGGAGGCCGCAAAGCAGGGCGCTTATCCCTGCCCCGAACTCATCATGGGTAGTGGCTGGAGGAGGTGGTCTCCAAGTCCATGTCCCAAATCCTCCCACCCCAGTCCACAGCTGGATGCCTTACCCCCCTCCACCCCATCAGTCAGCCCAGGAGTATTCTCAGCGGTATATGCGCACTGCCTGTCCCAAGTGCACCCGAGACTTCCCACAGAAGAGGGCATCCCACTCCGTGGAGGACATTAGGCTAGGGGTCTGAGGAGGATGCATCTGCTTGGGGGGTGTGCTGTGGGAGCCGCAGGAGGCCTGGAGGCTAGCTCCCCCACCGCCCTGGCCCCCTGTCCACAGACATCCAGTTCTGGAACAGCCGGCAGTCTCTGGAGGGCCTCTCTGTGCGCTCGGTCTTCTTCGGCGTGTTCCAGTCCCTGGTGGTCCTCCTCTACATCCTGGACAATGAGACCAACTTTGTGGTGCAGGTCAGCGTCTTCATCGGGGTCCTCATCGACCTCTGGAAGATCACCAAGGTCATGGATGTCCGGGTGAGCTGGCTCTTACTCTGCTTTGGGGCCCATCGGGGGCGAGGGCAGGCTGGCCAGGCCAGGGACTCTGGAGCTGGCCTGGGGCTTTCCCAACGCCCGCTGCACTCCCTGGACCAAGGGGGATTTTCACATCAGGGGAGTTTCCAGGTCACGTGGGGCAGGGGGACTGGGAACGGTGGGGAAGGGCAGGAACCAGCGGGGCAGCTGAGCTGACCACCTGATAAGGCCTCTCTCCCATCCCCAGCTGGACCGGGAGCATAAGCTGGCGGGGCTTTTCCCCCGCCCAACCTTCAAGGACAAGTCCACATATGTCGAGTCCTCGACCAAAGTGTACGATGACGTGAGTGTCCCTGCGGCGGTCCAGGCCCGAGCATAGTGTGGACTGGGGTACCTGCCTGGGGCTCAGGTGGGCTTGTGCCTGAGGTCCACGTCACACCTGAGTCCAGGCCTGCCCCATGTCCTGCAGTCCAGAGTTCCCAAGGCACTTGGAAATCCCCCTGGGCAGGCCTGCCAGGCCAGGTGTGGGCGGGTGGGGCATTGCCGCCTCACAGCCTCCCTCCTGCCCATGGTCCCACAGATGGCCTTCCGGTACCTGTCATGGATCCTCTTCCCGCTCCTGGGTTGCTATGCCATCTACAGCCTGCTGTACCTGGAGCACAAGGGCTGGTACTCCTGGGTGCTCAGCATGCTCTATGGCTTCCTGCTGACCTTTGGTGAGACACCCTGGGGCACCCGAACTAGTCTAGAGACACCTGGCCCAGCTTGGGGGTCGGTAGAACATCCTGGAGGAGATGCACTGTGCATTCCAGTCCCTGGGGGGGCGGGGGAGGTGGTTAAAGAGACCCTTAGGTAGGACAGGTCTGGGGTGTTCCGGAAGCAGCTAGTAAACCAAGTGGGTATGGAGAGGGGTAGGTGACGTGGATGGTGGGATCAGGCAGCTGAGGCCGGAGCTGCAGGCCGCCTCACACTCCCCCTGCCCCACACCAACCGCCACAGGCTTTATCACAATGACGCCCCAGCTCTTCATCAACTACAAGCTCAAGTCTGTGGCCCACCTGCCCTGGCGCATGCTCACCTACAAGGCCCTCAACACCTTCATCGATGACCTGTTTGCCTTCGTCATTAAGATGCCTGTGATGTACCGGATCGGCTGCCTGCGGGACGGTGAGGCCAGCCAGGGGCCCCCCCGCAAGACTCGGTCTTTGCAGAACCCCAGTTAGCTCCCCAGCAGTACCTGCTGGGTCGGGTGTGTGTTAATTACCTAGTGCTACTACAATAGAAACCCCACAAGTGGGTGCCTTTCACTAACAGAAGTGCTAGCTAGAGGCCTGAATTCAGAGCCTCCATTCTAAGGAAAGGCAGACAGAGAAAGTCTGCCACCTCTGGGGGAAGGTGCTTGTCTGTTTGGCTTTTTCCTGGTTGCTCGAAGATCTCCGTGTACCCTGACAGCTGCCTTGCCTTCTCTCTGCTGTTTTTCCTTGTTGGTTTTTGTCTTTTATGTCTCAACAGAGATTAACTCAAGAAACAGCCTGCACTAATCATCAGTAAATAGAACAGACAACCCATTCTCAAATGGGGTCACTGCTGCAGCCATAGAGGTTAGGGGTTTAATACAT